CTCGCTACTGATTAAAGGTTTCCTCTGCCAAGTGAACCGAGCTGAGCTCGGTGGAAAGCTGCTAAAGGACGGCCTGACTCTGGGGTCCCGTGGTCGGGGATGGGGAAGCTGTGGCTCCACCGAGGGCTGTGGAATTCAGCCCCGAGGCGTTAGAAACTTTTGTGTTCAGGGTTTTGTTAAAAATGCATTGTCAGTGACCGTGGGTTGTTAATAATTCACAGTGAACGTCTGAGTCCCGCGGGGCTGGAGTGTGTCTGTCTGTCTGCACGCAGAGATGCACCGGCTCTTTGAGACGCTCCAAATCGAGATGGCAGCTCGCTCTCTTAAAGCATGCTGATACGATTTTAAAAGCCTGAATGACCTTAAATCCTGCGATGGCTGTCTTTCAGGATAAATTATTTATGTCGCATCTTCAGTGCTGCCAAAGCCCTCGCTCCTCAGGAATGGGCAGAAATGTCAGGCTTCGGAGGACGAGCTCTGAGTTTGGAAGCGCTGCGCTCAGGTTAACGAGGAACTGAGGGTTTGGATGGGAAGAGGTGGAAGATAAAGGCGCCCTGCGAGGTGGGGGCGGGAGGGAGGGTGTTTGAGAGGTCCAGCCTTGGAAGTTGTCCCCAAACCGGTGCAGCCGCATTCTGCAGCCGACATCAGAGGGCTGGAAATTCCTCTTGATCTGCAGTTCAAAGCCGCTGCCTCCCTGAGGATGAAGCGCTTCATCTCGGGTTTGCAAATGCAGGCTCACCGCGGCAGCGAGCGTAGCTGTGAAATACAAATCCGCCATGGCGCCCAAATCCCCCTGAAAAGCAAGGAAACACGCTTACGGCGTCTGAAGGTCACTGCTGCCTGTCCTGCTAAAAAAGCAAACCCCCCTGAGGGATGAGGAGAATCCAGGGCTGCTTGCTGGAGAAGGCATTTCATTTCCCTTCACGGCAAATGGGGACTTGAAAAAACGCCTGAAAAACGTGGCGTGTAGTCCTGTCCAGGCCAGATCTGGCTAATTCAGCTGTTTTACGTGAGAGGCGGGCTGCTGAATGTAACGTTCTTGGGTTTTAATAGTGTTTTGAACCCAGGGTTGGCAGGGGAGTGCTGATTCGAAACCCTGCGGGACTGCCCCGAAGTTGGTGCTGCCGTGGGGCGAGGGGTGCTGTGGTCATGGTGGGGTCTAGCGTGGCTGCTGAGCAGCAGCTCTGGAAGCAGCTGGGTCACCTCGATTTCAGTGAACTCTCTCTCCTCCAAAGTGATAGCTTTTCACACATCGTCTTCCTCCCGGTTTTCTCACAGCTTTCTTGGTTTTTGTTTTTTATTTTGAAAGGAAAGCTAATGTGCAAACCTGCCCCTCCTGGCTTAACCGAAGACGAGCTCTCCTCTGCGCTTTGATCTAGCGGGTGTCTCTCTCGCTGCACTGATTCAGGTCTTTCAAACCACTTTCCCTGCAAGCGCAGTGAGCTGCCGCCACGGCATCTGGAGCTCTCAAAGGCTCAGATCTGGCTTGGTGAAAGGATCCCTGGTAACGAAGAACAAAGGAGAAGAAATGCAGAGAAGTCGGCTGTCGGAGCGGCAGTGTTTCAAAGGGCATGGTTTCCGTAAGGCATGGGGTGGTCAGCAGTGCTGGGAGAACTCCCCCCCTTTTTTTCCTGGAGGATTTACCTTGTGTCTCCCTAATCTTTATCAGCTGTGTCTGTCTTCATGAACATTTAAGATCTAGGCTTTATTTTAAAGACAGGCACAGATCACTCCAGCGTTCCTACCCAGAGGTCTCGGCTTTTCTCGTGGTATGAAATAATCAGCAGCCGCCATGTGCTGAGTTCGGTGCCTCTTGATTTTGGTTTTTCAATGTGACCTTTGCTGTTAATCCACAACCTGAATGGGGCCGTGTGCTGAAACGAAATGACCTGTTTCTGGGCAATTCAGCTCCAGTTTATCCTCAAGCTGCTTTAGCTTAAACTCTTCTCTCCCCTCCTCTCTCGCTCTTCTAGGTCAAAGCCTTTATCTGAGTGCAGGTTTCGGTGCAGCACTAGTTTTAAGCGCATGTTAGATACGGGGAGATAATGACTCATGGTTTTCTTTGTAGAAATACCCCTTTCCGGCTGTGCTTACAGGAGGTAATGTTGCTGTGGGATTGTCCCTAGCCGCTCCGTCTGACGCAGGGCTTACGTGGGGGGCAGCAGGGCAAACGGGGGGACTCGAGCAGCGTGCTTTCCTTGTAAATGTGGCACTGACTTGTTTTCTGACAGCCGACAAACCCTCACGTACAGCGAGGCGGTGTGACCCTGTCGTGGGAGTATCTGAAAGGGCTCCTGTGATCCCAAGTGCCGTCGAGGTGCAGAGCTGGGTGGGAAACGTCACCCTGTGAGTAACCAGCTGGAGCAGGAGCATAACAGGGAGGTGATGTGGGTGTTTCTGTTCTTGTGGGTCGGGAGCAGAGGTGACGGCCCGCAGTGCTGGCACCGTTCCTGTGCTGGCTCAGGCCTGTGACACATGAGACCGAGTCAGGAGTCTCATTACCTGGCATGTTTCTCAGCTGTATCTCTGCTAATTACCTCCAGCTGCTGGTGTTCAAACAAGGCTGGGGCTCTCCTGCCTGTCCCCTCCTGTCAGTTGTGCCGCGACACCGTCACGCCATCCCCCCGACGTCACGCTCTGCCCTGGCAGCAGCTTGCGCCGTCCTGGCCCTGCGATCCCGCTGCGGGGCGGGAAGGAGCATGGGGGAAAAGCGCTCCTGTTGCAACATGTCCTGGCAGCGCCAGCAGGTCCCAGACGAGCACGTTATGAGCTGTCTCTGATCTTGTTTCGGTGGGAAAGGTACAGGCTGAATGGGTTTGCCGGGCTTCGTTCCAGTCTGCAGAGCATCCTGGCGTGGTGGGGACTGGCACAAGGGGCTGAAGGAGAAATTGCCGGACGTTGGCTCTTCTGTGCGAGGCTCCCAGCTCGGTCCAGAGCAAAGCAGCACCGTGCACTCCCCGTGTCAGGGGAAGGTGCATTTCCGAGAGGCAGGGGCGAGGTGGCTGCCCCGGTGAGGTGGACGAGGACCCACTGAGTCATGGTGGGTTTGAGCTCGCGCCGTTCCCCGGCTCCGCAGAGGTGTGGCAGGTGCCACCGGAGAACTTGAGATCTTGAGTGACTTAGAAAACACTAGAAGATAGAGGGAGGAACATCTTCCCAATGAGGGTGTCTGTAGTTGGGAAGTTTCTCACTCGGTAGAAGAGCTGCTTTTAATTAAAAGGTGATTTATGTATGTATTTTCCTGAACTGCAGAGAGCTGGTGGTTTGCTCGAGGGCAGGGGAGCCGCTGGCATCGCAGCGATGCTGCTGGTCCGTTTTTCCTGTTCTCGGACCTCTGCTGTGACAGGGAGTGGTAGTGTCTGACACATGAGGACAGACCTGGTCTTATCCTGGCCTCCGTGTACCGTGGCATCAGTAAATTGTAGTTTATCTAGTCGAAGGTGAGTCTCAGAAGGGATCTGGATTTTAATACCTGATATAAACCATTTCAAAGGTCATGGGCACCTGGGTTTCAGTGCCTGGGTCGTAAAGAAACTTTCACTGTCGTGGATATATCTGTGACCTCTCTGGTCAGTTGCCCTGAGGGTCGGGGATCAGAAGTCGGAAGCTTCAGGTGTGAAACTATCCTGTTCTTACATGGCGTTGGCATTGTGGTCCCCTTCAGTGGTTAAGGAACAGGTTTTCCTGGGGGAAAGACATCTGCGGCCTGGAGAGGGGCGTTTATCCCCTGCCTCTCGGTCTGCCCCGAGCACCCGAAACTCCTGGGGTGGCGAGTGAGGCCTCCAGTCATCACATTCCTATTCCCTGAGCGGGTGCTGCCAGGACGGCCCTACCTGCGCGCTGCTGTCAGAGGCACGAGCGTGCCAGGGGCCTGTCCTGTGATCTCCCGGTGATTCAGTCTCCTCTTCCTGTCCCCACTTCCTCCGTGCTGAGTCTCCGGTGCCGACCAGAGCTGCTGGGCACTGCGGAGCCCTACTGGCAAAGCGCTGGCGCTGGCTGGAAGCTGTTCTGGGTAAGCCGCGGTGCGGGACAGATTTGTTTTGGGCTTGTGAGGAGATGGATTGAAATGTAATCAGATCGATGTTCGGAAAGCTTGTTTCGCTGCCTGCTTGGACAGCTTCAAGGGGGGCTTGGAGTTGTGGAGATGGAGTGGGGCGCAGCCAGCCTTCAGTGTTGGGAGGTTGTCGAGGAAGGATCAGAGTGGTTTGGAAAAATCTGCCTTATCTGTCAGGGCTGTTCGGGGACGGGAATGTCTCTCTGTGTGTGAGCCACAGGACAGCACCGTGCCGCTTCATCTGCCTTCTGCTCGGTGATCCGTCTGGCAGATTTAACGGCGTTCGTGGCTGAAGGGGCCTGCTGAGGATGTGTGCCAGGGCTGGCCGTGGTGCCTGCTGATGGGCTGTAGGCTTTGGGCTCCTGTCGCACTTCCACGTGAGCAGCCTCCGGCTGCAGATAAAGGAGCTGGATTGATGGCGCAGGATTAGCTTGGCTGGGTTTTCTCTGCTGAGCGAGGCAGTCGCGTGAAAAACGTCCTGGGTTTCAGCTGCAAGCTCTGCGTTGGTGTGGGGGCCCTGGCGATTTGGGGCGGGGGGTCGTGCTGGCTCCCACCACTGGGACCTGCTGCTCCAGGGTGTTGGGAGAATGCGGCGGCTCTTTTGAGCCAGCCGGGAGAGGGCAGCCCCAGCCTCTGCCCCACGCAGGGAAAAACGAAAAACGTCCTGGGTTTCAGCTCTGCGTTGGTGTGGGGGCCCTGGCGATTTGGGGCGGGGGGTCGTGCTGGCTCCCACCACTGGGACCTGCTCCCCTGCTGCTCCAGGGTGTTGGGAGAATGCGGCGGCTCTTTTGAGCCAGCCGGGAGAGGGCAGCCCCAGCCTCTGCCCCACGCAGGGAGCTCCAGGGCACTAGCACACTAGCCCAGGGCCGTGTTTCTCTGTGGCCGGCTCACCAGCTTTCCCCTCCAGTCCCTGACCGCTTCCTCCCTTCCCGCAGGCATGAGTGACCAGGCTTGCCCCCAGCACTGAGCAGCCGGAGCCACCGGGAGCCGGGCCAGGATGCCGATCCCTCCTCCCCCGCCGCCGCCGCCTGGCCCCCCGCCGCCTCCCACCTTCAGTCAGGTTGGGGTCTTCCTGCTGCCCGGTGGCCTGGCTGGTTGTAGGGTGGGGAGGTGGCCTGTCTCCACATGGTGCTACTTGCCAGGGGCCCCTGTGTTGTCTCCGGACCTCCTTGAGTCCAGCGTACGAGAGCTTCGGGTGACCCGTGGGCTGTGCCTCAGTTTCCCTTGCAGCAGAGTCTGTACATGGAAGGGACTGCACGTGGCTTTTTTTTTTTGCATTAGTGTCTTCTGCTCCACCATGGCTCGGGGAGGAGAGCAGGGGATCTTGCATGTGGCTGTAACTGAGCTGCGCCTTGGGTCTAGGTAGGACAGGGTCTCAACCTTGCCCTGTGGGATGGCAGCATAAACCTCCTGGGGCAGCCCCGTCACTCCCTCTGGAAGAGAGCCCCTGGAGAAGGCTGTTTGCTGGCAGGGGGTGGGGGTACCTCTGGGCTCAGCGGAGGAGAATTGGGAAGGTAGAGTTGGGCTGTGTCTGCTCTGTGCGTCGGGGTATCCGTCTGCACAGGTGGGCTCCTGCTGAGCTGCTTCTTGTCTCCAGGCGAACACAGAGCCGCCGAAACTGAGCCGAGAGGAGCAGCGGGGCCGTGGAGCCCTCCTGCAGGACATCTGTAAAGGGACCAAGCTAAAGAAAGTGACACAAATCAATGACCGGAGTGCACCGATCTTAGAGAGTGAGTACCCGCCACGCTGGGTCCTGCTCTGCCCTTCAGGATGGCTTCTGGGCTCTCACCTGTCTGGTTTCCAGTGGCTCCGCGTTGGAGGAGCTGATAATACCAGGCTTAACCTCTCTGCCTCCTTTCAGAGCCCAAGGGCAGTGGTGGCGGCAGCTACGGCTCTAGCTCAGCTGTGATCCAGCCGAAGGGCGGCCTCTTCCAAGGCGGTGTGCCCAAGCTCAGACCCGTGGGAGCAAAGGACAGCTCAGGTAACGGCCATCTGATTGTGGTTTGCGTGGGGGTTCCCTGGGGAGGTCCCTGAGCAGGAGGGGCTTGAGGATCTTGCCGTGTTTGCCTGGGGATTTCAGCTGGTTAGAGGCAGGGACCCCAAATCAACACCCCACGTGTGGCCGCAAGCAAGCTGCCTTCTCTCCATGTCAGTGTCCCACGACATGAACCTCCTTGGAGGGCCCGAGAGTCACGTGTGTTGCTGAATGTTTCTCTCTGCTATTTTCTGTGGCAACCTGCCTTCCAGCAAGCCAGAGAGCGAATAGCAGTGGTGAGAGAGGAGCTGTGTGTGGCTGAGCGTGGTGCCAGCTCCCTGCCTGTGCCAGACAGCGTTCCCCGCGGTCTGGCCCTTCTCGGCCGAGCGGGCAAGCTGCCCCGCGCTCTGCGCAGGCTTGGGGACGAAGCGCTGCACGTCGCTCTTTCTGACTCCCGGCCCGCGCCGTGCCTGGCCAGTCACTCTGCTTTCCTTCACTGCAGACAGCTCCAGTAAGCAAACCTTGCAAGTCCCTGGCTCCAGAGCAGCTGCCCCCAGGCCCCCGGTGCCGGCCAGCAACAGCCGACCTCAAGATGATGCTGACAACAGCCGGGCCTCTCCCCCGGAGCTGCCGCGCACGCAGAGGCCCTCCCTGCCGGACCTCTCCCGGCCCA